ATAAAATATAATATAAAACTAATATAATATCAATAAAATAATATAAAATAATATTTAAAAATATCTATAATATTACAATATACAACTGTTTATCAGTTTGAAAATACTTTTTTGTAAAGAAGCCTGAAATGTATCTCTAAAATTTTACTAACATCTAGAATAAAGTATAAAAAATGCTATTATATCAAAAAATAAAATTGCAAGAAGCAAACTATAAATTAATATTAATATAAGTTCTAAGCATATTTCTATTTAAATTTAAATACTGTTATTTTTAAAAAACTGCTATATATAACAAATTAAATAAAGCAAACATTGATTAGTTAGATAGTGTTTGAATAAAGATTATAAATAAGGTTTTTACAATATAAGTTTTGTTGATCAGAGCTTTGAATTTGGGTACAGACTAAGTATAATTCTAAGTTTTTTCAAATTCTTATAGAATATTAATCTAAAAAAAACATAATATGAACTTTTAATATTTATTTTATAATTTTATGAAATATGTTGACCCAGTTATCTGACAGAAAGATATAAGTCTTTACATTATCTAACTGCTTTTAAATCTTATCTTAATAACTTAGATACTGTATTATAGAATCTATAAAAATACTAAACTAAAAAACAAACTATACTAAAAGAACATTTTAGAATATATTTATTCATTTTTACAAATACATCTCAGACAACTTTGGTGAATTCTACAAATATCATCATGTAGACATTTGTAACATATATACAAAATTTTTTATAGTATGTATGTAAACTAATTATATTTAAACAATATAGGATAAAAGTCTATGCTCCTCTGGTATAGAATAAAAAACTTATATACAGAGTACAAGATAAGGACACTTTATATTAAACTCTTAAATACTATATTAAGTAACAAAAATGATCTTTTTTTTATCTATAAGGTGTATGATAATTTGTCAATATTCATTTATAAGATCAAATGCAAAAAACTACTTAGATCCTTTTAGGATATTAAGCATTTTATTAATACAAGATAAAGAATAAATATTTTTTTTAGTAATACTATTAAGTTTATAATAATCAATATAGAATTGTAATCTGATATTTTTTTTTGAATCAATATAACTGATGAAGTTCAAAGACTAGAAGAGGATCATATAAGTCTGCTATTAAATATTTGTTAAATTTTTTTTTTAATAAATATCTATTTTGTTAATAAAGAAAAATAAAGTTGAGATCAAATAAAAAATTCTTCTTCAATATATTGATGAATTATAAAATTAGTGCATCTTAATTCTGTTGTATCTGATACAAAAAAATCTAAGAATTCTATTAACAATTAACTGAATTGTTTGTTTTGTTTAGCATTTAAAGATTCAATGTTTAATTTAAATAGTTCAAAACTAGTACTATATTTTTCATAAGAGATTATAATGTCTATTGTAAAAACTTGATGTACTTTGTTTGGTTCAATAGGTAGTTTTTCATTCTGTCTAGAATAATCTAAAAAATTTAACTTTTCCTTTCCTTGAACAAGAGAAGCATATCATTGTTGGGTAGAGTGTTTAAATAGTAGATTACAGGTATGACAGTATAGAATCTTCGGGCGGACTACTTAAATAGGCAACCAAAAGTTGCACGGGTAGCTGCCTTAACGAAAGCAAAAAATAAGTTACCCAGGCATTTGATTTGCATTAACCAATCAGACGAATTTCTTCCTTTGAGCTCCAGACGAAGGCAATAGGTTACTCGGGAATTTTGAGATGTACCCGATTGCTAAGCCACCCATCTTACGTAATAGATATACCCAAAAAAACTTACTGTAGAACTTGGTTCAACTTCATACTTACATATCTCAAAGATTTTTTACAATGTCGACTTCACTATTTCCTGCGCCAGTTCCACGACGCAAGTACCCTGTAGAATTTAAAGCTGGCAAACTTAAGCGAGAAGGAACGTCGAATACATTAAAAGCGGACGAGAGGAAAGGGTTTGTTGTAAAGAATGTTTGACTTTATACTCTACTCATTGCAGCGGAATATTAATAAACTTTTATTCTGAAACAACTGAAGTCTTATTTATATGGATCAGGTTAGTATTGATCCCTGCTTAATGAAATACTAGCGCTGTTTAATTTAACCAGTTATCCCATATTCCTTACAAAGGGAGATGACTCATTGATGCATTTTTATTGGAAAGACAGAAAAACTGGAAATGTGGAAGATGTATGCTATTTGTATGGCATAATGTGTCTTTTATTTGAAACTCGTATTGACCATTATATAATATAGGATTTAATAGTGTTCCCTGAAGAAGCGGAATTTATTCGTGTAGAACAATGTACCACTGGCCGAGTTTATTTGCTCAATTTTAAATCATCATCCCAAAAATTGTTCTTTTGGATGCAAGATGCAAAAGATGATAAAGATGAAGAGAATGTTAATAAGGTGAATAGATTGCTTAATGGATTGACTGAAAGTAGGCAACAAGGTACTAGTAGCACTGGCCCACTGGGTAGTCCTTTTCGTACGATGGATGATTTATCCGGATTTGAAGTGGATCAGGAACAGATATTGCAATTACTTCAAGGTCATGGCGCCTTCGGGTAAAAAGATCTTTATATACTGTATTATCACGAACCTTTAAAATTGTAAATGATTAATATTAGTATTCTATTAAAGTGGAAGTTTGCCCATCACTTCTACTACTCCCGCTAGTGAACCACAATCGACCACAGCTGCGACTTCAGAGGCTGGCTCTGGGGCACAAACTTCTGAAAACATGCTTACTCCTGAGCAGTTAGGTAATCTGAGAAATATTTTATCTGAAATACAAGTTCCCGGTGAGTGGTTTTTTTATTGTTACCGTTTCAATTTGGCACACCTTTAATTCGAAAATTTTTTATATTAATATAGAAGGTGTAAATCAACAGTCTGGTAAGAGATTAAATATTCGTATGTTTTAATAATCTTATATGTTAAGAACTTTTTCTTTATATTTAGATGTGAATCTTATTGATGTTATTACACCCTCTTATATCAGCCCATTATTAAACAACCCTGAAATAGCGTCTGGTAGTATAACATGCTAACACTCTTATTTTAAAAATTTAAAATTTATTGATTACCACCGTTTTTGATTTTGTTCAGCTTTGTTCCCACATTTACCTAGTGATATCAATAGAACGCCTGAAGAATTACGAGAAGTTGTTCAAAGCCCACAATTTGCTCAAGTAGATCATCCTTTAATAATTGTGGCGGCTAAAGCTGAAATTTCAATAAGTTTTTGAGTACATTTCCTTGGGATTGGAAATTTCAGCTTCAACCCCACAATAATTTTTAGCCATTATTGTGATAACCATTTTGATAATGTGAAAATTTTACCCCGAATTATAGGCTTTGCAGTCCTTAAGCATTGCTTTACAATCAGGACAGTTGGGTCCTCTTCTTACTCAATTAGGACTTGATCCATCAGCAGGGAGTGGTATGGTTTCTTACAACTGTTTAATAAATGTATGAAGTCTTGATCTAATTCATTATGTTACTACCTTTTTCAGGCGTTGAAGCGTTTCTTCGTGCAATTCAAGAACAGGTGTCTAGACAACAAAGAAATAATCCTGAAGAGGATAATGCTGAGGATCAAAGTGGCGATCGTATGGATGAAGATTAAATTCTTACATAGATGCTTAACCCTATATATAACTAATTTACTCTTATGCAATCATGAGGCTAATTCTCTTTAATATGTTTATCAAATTCGATTTAAATTACGTAAACATTTTATATAATTAAAAGTGCAAAGCAGTGCTAAATGTTCCTTTGCTGGTTTACCTTGTTATTTGAATCTTACCCATTATCACCGAAAAATTTTTACTATCACGCGATTCAGACAAAATTCTTATGGAAATGCTACCGGAAAGTCTACTGACACATGACCCTATCTAAAAACTCCCCCAGTGGCAAACAAAATGCGCGGCAGATTCTCGATTTTGATTGGCTAACTGCAGGATCTGCAACATTTGGCCCGCATTACATAATTGTTTACTAATTTCTGACCGGAATTAACGTTTTAACTTTTTCATTCTAAAAATAGAAATTTTCAAAGAAATAGGTGTACCACAAGAGATCTGAATCTGATCTGGTCCATTATTTTTGGATCCGTATAAATTCGGGGAATGGCTAAAGTCAGGCACATCACGAGATTACCCGATTTTATGGTCAGAGGATTACCTTTTTGATGCAGTAGGTTATATAGATATTAAAAATGCAATTTATGTAGTATGTAGATCATACGAGTGCTGCAGAGCGAAATGTGTATATTTAAGTTCTCATCATGGCGAATTTAGCCCCTGATAAACAATGTTTTGATAGTTCAGTAACAATAATAATACGTTCGTACGAAATTTTACTAAACACTGATTATATACATGATTACATCAGAATTCACAAGACTAAATGGGCTAAACTCGCCATGATGAATCACTTTCAGCTTTTCACTCTGCAGCACTCGTATATTAAAATTAACTCTACTTTAACCGACACCCGATTTTTCCGATTTTTAATTAAAATCAATTGTTACCAGGGCTAGGGTTAGACTAAAATCGCATTTCTGACACTTTTACTTAGTGAATCAAGACCGGTTTAGATGACCATTTTTTATATTTTTCATGTTTTTGTCTTTGTTGTCTCACTTTGTTTTGTTCGGGCTGAGGTTTTATATCGGATGTACTCAAACTGGCAATTTATTAATTAGTAATATCCTAAGTACTTATACATAGTTCGTGAGAGTACAGTTAGTTACACATACAACTTTAGTCATTGTTTATTTAAAGGTTTTATTCTAAGGTTACCTACTATTTGTCATACTTGATTTCTACTTGTAGATGTTTTATTTAAACTTTTTGGCTTACTTAATTAGTACTTGTATATTTTTAATTATTTTATCTTAAGGTCAATTGATCTTTTTGCTGTTTCTTATTAAGAACTAGTTAGGTTTGATATCATCTTTTTTTGTATTTTTATTTTGATTGTAGCAATGTCTGTTATCTGGTAATAAAACACAAAAGGTTTTTTTATTTTTTATTTTTTTATTATTAAATAATGTTTAAGTAGAAACTTTATTACATATAGAAACATAAGTTCTAAATTTAAAGATTTCTAAACTACATTTGTGCTACAATTAGGTACTCAATATGACATTATATTCTCTATTTTTTATGAATGTTATAGTTAATTATTTCAAATTAGGTTTTAGTTAGGATAGGTTAGAGGAAACCTTTGAGTGATTGTTTGAACATTAAATTATATAAGTTGTTAGAAAATATTCTTGTAAGAATTATTTTGTAATTAAGGATTTGATATTTATAGATTGAGAAAAAGTTTTAGTATTGTTTGAAGGATTGGGTAAAGTTGGTAGACTGATTTTGGTATATTTGAACTTTGATATGATGTTGCAAAAGTTTTTTTATTGGTGTTAATATATATTATGAATAAACTAAAGATCTTGGTAATATCAGTTAAGTAGATTGTTTAAAAGATAGAATAGAAAAATATCTGTTTGTTTATTAATAAGTGTTTTAATGTTCTTATATATAGTAGTAGAATAAGTTCCAGTAATAAAATATAAAATATATTTGTATTGAGAATTTGAAAAGTAAAGTATAAAATTTAGAAGGATATTTAATAGAGTTATTGAGGTTGTATTAGTAATTTGAAATGATTAAAAAGTATTATGTATAATGTTTTTAAGTAATTATAAAATATTTGTAGTATTGCTAGAGCATAAGAACAACTAAAGAGTATCTTCAATATTTATGTAATAGGAACAATAAGATGTAGTATAAAGGTAAGGATAGTAAATATTAAAGTTTTGTATAGTAGTAAGTTATTGGTAAGAATTTTAATACAAAATAGATATTTTTATGAGTTATCTTCAAGAAAAAAGAAGTATTGAATTTTGAAATATTAAGCTTAATAATAGATTTTAAGGCTCTTTGTTTAGCAAATAAATCTGCTTGATTATGAAATAAGGTTATAAAATATGATTTGATTTTATAAAAAGTAATAATAATGTTTTTTAGATGTTTAAGATAATTAATATAGTAGATGATATCCCAATTTTTAGTTTGTATAAGTTTAGAAATAATAGGTTGTTTAAGATTTTTAATAACAGTTGTGTTATCGATATAGATATTTAAAGAAATATTAGATAAAACTACAAATAAAAGATAAAAAACTGTTTCAAGTTCAGTACAAGTTGAATCAAGATAAGATTATATAGCTGCATTGAATTTTATTAATGTGTTGTATTTGCAAATTCATTCTATACTAGGTTTTATATCTGAAGTTTAAAGATTTTTAATTGATTTATCAGTGTAAAAATATAGTTTATTTGTATCAAATTGGAAAATAAGATAGTTAAGATCAGTTAATTGTTTTTGATATATTAATAAATAAATAAATTATTGAATAAGTTGAGCATTGTAGGACGATAAAATTATTTGTAGTTGTAATAAAGAAGATGATTAAGAGGAAGTAGAATTATATATATTAATTAAAACTAAAATTTCTCTAAAATCAATTTGAATGATTGTTTAATCATTTGATTTGTTGATTAGATTATAAGGTAAATAGAAAGAATAGTAGTTTGGTATAGAGTAATTAGAAGTTGAGAGAAGCTGTAAGAGACCTAAAATAAATAGAGAGATTTTGAAGAAAAAAAGTTGTTGAAAAATGGTTTGATAAAAAATATAAAATAGTTAATTATTTGTATAATAAAGTTGATAGAAAGAAAAGAAGTTTGAGAGTAAGTGTAGTAATATTAAATTAGTTGTATTAAAAAAGAGATTTTGAAAGGCAAATTTAAAGTAAGTCAAGTTAGATTAATAAGATTAGATTGGTTAAAGGTTTCTTTATTAAATTACTTATTTATTTTACAAATTTTAATAAGATTATGTTTTTGTAAAGTTTATTTGTATTTTAGTATTTATTTTATAGTATATCTTTAATTTTTTAGTATATTTTTATTTTATTTTTTAAGATTCTTAAGTTAGATAACTTAAAAAATCTGTAATATGTTTTTAGTATGTTAAGCTTGGTTTGATATCCTTTTTCTTCAGTTTGGTCCAATAGTTTAGTTAGTAGTACTTCTTATCTAAAGATTCTTGTTTTTTTAATTGTTTTATATTGATATCTATTTTTTTGATTTAGTCTTTATAGTAATAGTATTAAAAATCTGTATTATTTCTTTACTTGTGTTTTTTAAATAGGTTTCAGTTTTTTTCAGTTTTATAAATTTATATATATAGATTAAATGAATGAATAAAGGATAAATAATATGTAAATAATAGAAAAAATCTTTGCTATTATTCTACTCTATATTTACCAAATAATAGCAACATAATAGCAGCATAATAGCAGAATAATAGTAAAATAACAGAAGTTTTATCAATATAAGTAACATAATAGTAATATAATAGCAAAATAATAGAACAGTTTTATTATTTTACTTTTAGTTACAAAGACTAAAAGTAAAATAATAGAACTGTTCTATTATTTTACTATTATGTTACTATTATGTTACTCATATTAACAAACCTTTTATTATTTTATTATTATTCTATTATCATGCTGCTGTTATGCTATCATTATTTGGCAAATATAAAATAAAATAATGGTAAAATTTTTTTTTGTTATTTACTTATTATTTATCCTTTATTCATTCATTTAACCTGTAATAGTTACAAAGAATTTATCTTGAATTTGCATTGTTTTATATTGGTTTGCATTTTTTTGTATAATTAAGATTATACATTTGCTCTATAATTTGTCAGTTATGATAATGCAATTATAATTATAGATATTTTATTTTAACTAATTAACAGAATGTTATTACTATAATATTAATTAAATATTATATAGATGATTATTCAAATTTTTGTTATTAGTAAGTTTTAAACTTACAATCTATTACTTAGAAGGTTGATAACTTATTCTTTTCACTAAATTATTATACCAATTGGTCAAACTTAAAATTTTGTATTTCTAATACTTTTATAATATTTTATAAAATAATTGATTGTTTTTTAATTAGATTATTGTAAAATTTATATCTATTTTATGTATAATTTTTAAATTTTTTAAAATATTTTTTGTAGGTTTTTTTTATAGTTGAGTTGAAATTTTTTTTTTGTTTTTTTTATTAAAATTAATGTTAATAATAGCTATTACCTTTATTAGATTTTTTAATTATAATTACATAACTTATATAAAGTAAGTATACAACTAGTTATATAAACAACTTTTAGTTATCTATTAAGATTCTTATATTATATCTGATAAATAGTATATTAGTTTTTGTATATTTAAGTATTATCTAATTTAATATTTTGTCTCTTTTTTTATATATTTATTAAATTGTTATATATTTTAAAATATATTATTTGATTGTAAAACTTAGAAACCTTTTTTATTAACTAGTTTATTTATTTTTTATAAAATATTAATTAAGTTTATTTTGTAAAGTTTACTTAAACCTTTTAATATTAACTTTATAATATATCTCTAATATTTGTAATCTATCATTGCTTTATTATCTAAATTTTAATCTAAATAGTTTAATAAAATTATAACTTATTCTTAATATATTAAATATAATCTAATATTTTTTTA